TATGCTATATAGTATGCTGAATTGAGTTTGGTATGCTTTATTAGCTGATAGAATTACTAACCTATATTATTTCACATATGCTGTAGATCACAACGCTGTAGCGTTAGATGAAGCTATCGTTAGATCTATAAAAAATGCCTTTTTTGTGTTAGGTATTAGTACTAGGTTTAAAAAATTGCACAACTTACTACAAAATACGCTATGCAATTAGATTATTACAAAAAAAATACGATAAGCGCCTGAAGTGTATGATCTAAGCCATTTGCATTATTTTCTATGGAGCTATGTTAATTTTCTTGTTTGTTCACGTAAACCAGAGTTATTAGACACTACATGCAAATCAACACTCGCAGAATTATTAGCGATATAAGGCCTCAGCTGCTTAATAATTAGATTTTCAGGTTCCATTTTATTCGAACCAGCCTGAATACCCATGCATATGTACATGTGCAAATCATATTCCAGCATTACTGGAAGAAATATGTATATAGAAAAAACAAACACAGGAACTCAGATTTACTACACATAGGCATTTATTAATATTTGGTTTTGATTGTTTATGTATATAGTTCCCACATTTACATATTCACATTACTTCTAAGAAAATATAAAATTTTCTAAAAGCACAGACCTTTAAAAATATTTAAAAATTTAAGGTAGTGGCATACAAAAAAAATTTGCAAAAATGTTCCCCTAAGTTTATCGAAACTAAACATTTAGGCCAAAATGAAGTTAGTCAAGATCTCAACAGTAAACCGAAATGCCAAACAAGCATTCTACATCCCATTGGGGATTTTTTAATTGGATTTTAAAATGCATTCCATGTATGTAACGCATTCGGCAGCTGATGTGATCACCATCAGCGCAAATGAACGTTATGGGTCTATCGTACCAAGTCAGCTGAAAATTTTTTCCCTGCTCTTGTTGCGTACAATTTCATTTAGCCATGCTGACCTAAAGCAATTTTCTGTTTAATGCATATGCCAATTGGTATGATGCCGGCAAAGGATTCGCAGCATTTTATAGCATACATAAATGCGAGTGTATGTATTTCCCCATGCAAATATGTAAGAATGTGCTACTCTGAGCAAGAGTCATATGCAAATTCATTTATATAGTATGTATATTTGTTAGTAATGCACATGAATGTTTTTCTTGAAAACTACCACAGAAAAGTGTACATTGGCAATATTGACCATTATATTTGCATATATTTGTCCTTCCACACACAATTTGTTGCTTTAATCCTTGCACATGGCACGTACTGTGTTTGGTTGTGAAATTCTCACAACAGAACATTTTCTGTCTCCAGCTTCTGGAAGAGTAATTTTTAGTTAATTTTCATGTTTGAACGCGATGAGATTGCATAAAATTAACTTTTTGGGTCTTGCCAAATGTGCACCACAACAGCATTTTAAGAGCTTATGGCACGTATGATTAATGTTGCAGTAAAAGAAAATTTTGTCTAATTACCAGAAAAAGATATCGAGAAGTTATGTAATTTTGTTACCAGAATTGTAATTAATTTTAAATATCTATTAACATTAACTGTTGAGCGAATCAAAGGCTCATCATAACAACCACGAAAAGTAAAATAAAATTTTCAATTTACTATTTAAAGCACTTTTGCAATGGCAGTGACGCTTCATTATGATAGCTCCTTCGTCAGAAAAAATTTTCACAAAACCTCTTGCCATTTTCATTAGCATATTTGATTAAAAAGGACTTAACTTGTCAGAGTAGTGAAGTGAAGTGAAAGGTAAATTAAGCTTTTGAAAGAAACACACTCCAACGTAAATTTCATTCTGCTTCTTGTATCTTTCAAAAGTTGAAGACAAATTTTTTTGTCATTCTTAAAACTGTTCATTACTAAAAGTGAAAAAAATAACTAAAATTAGCAACATGGCCCAAACGAAGGCCTTAAAGTTCTCTTAGCATTTTTAGTATTCCCGTTTTTTGTTTGAGTCTCCCCTTCTGCGAAGCCCTACGTACCTGTTACATATTTTTGCGTATCTTTAGAAACTCACGGCTGACTTTTTAATTACGTCTAATTGCATGGTAACGATGCAAGTGTCCTCTGTACACTTTTTTCTCCACCACCACGGAACTAAGCTTAAGTAATTAAAGATTTAAAATGTCCTTGCAAGTTTTTAACTTTTTCGTTTGTGCTTCAATGCGTTGATGTTCTCAGACCGACGATGACTTTTATGTTGATAATAACGATGTTGATGTATAAATTACCACTTTTTCTTTAATTTTAGTTATAAAGTCAAATAGTCGTAAATGCTTTCAAAAAAATAGATTCAAAAAACTAAGTTGCTGCTTCATCATTTTAGTCAGTTAATTAATTTGTAGTAATTGCAATAAAAAGAGAGAAACACAGAAAAAGTCCTGCATACAGGACTCTTTGATTTATATGTAAATGGAATTTGATAGACAGGCTGAATAAGCTTTTCTTCACAATAACTTTTATTTTTCCACAAAAATGTTCTTATAATTAAAGTAATTTCTCAAGTAAAGGATAGGATTGTAGTTGAAAATCGGTCAGAAATGTTTTTCTCGGACTTAGAAAAGTTTTGATTTGATAGAAAACACTTAACTGATTATATAAGTTATATACTTTCTTGATTTAAAATTTATTTTTTTTAATGAACTATATACAATACGTCTTTAGGTTTACGTAGATTTTGTGAAACTAAATAACTTCCAACAAAGTGCTCCGGCTAGAAAGGTTGATTCGGTACTCGCAGGTGAAAAACGCGGTTAAGAACGTTGGCATCTTCGGTGGAAGGACTAGATGACCAACGATTTGAGTGCGCTCGATACTACCAATTGGCGTCAAAAAGCAACTAATCGGGCTGACTGATGGAGGCTACTCGACGCGGCCAAGAACGACTCACGTCTGTAATGGCCAACCAATGTAATGTAATGTAAATAACTTGTTGTAATGAATATATGCAAGTATATTTATAAGACCTTATATATGAAACCATATAAGATTAATAGAACTTGAAGTAGCTGCCTTCGAATCGCGATATAGTTGAGAAACTCACTTAACTTTATAGTGACAAATACTGGAAAAATACACATCAGGATGGAAGTACTTATGTATGATAGTTATGGTGAAAGTGATCTATGGCAATCAATTCATTTGAACATAGAACATATTTCACAGCTTGGCCCACAATCCACCGATAAAGTCAATAAATTCTTGAAAATGGTTCATAAAGACCGGTATAAGGACAAGCATGGCAATAGCAAAAAACCAAAGACCAACAAAGTGACTTTTTTAAACTATTTCCATTAAACTGATCAATCAGTTTTGAGGGTCTGCATTTCATCCTCGTAGTTGGAATGAACTATATATTATATTAATAAAAACAATGTTTCTATTATTATTGGTATGGGATGTGGCACTATGACCGTCGGGTTTATTGTGCCCTATAGTTTGTATGCGTATTCGTTACCGCGGACGCCAGTATATCCCGGTGCGCAGAGAATCGATGCCTGATTTGATTGGCCGAGCAGAATCAGCTTTTAAAAAATATATTTTTTAATTTTTATTTTGGAAATTGAAAACCTGAAAACATTTGGTTTCCAATTTTAAAAAATGGACAGAGAAACATTCAATAATTTTTAAGCATTTGAGTCCTTAGAATGCGGGATTGTAAATCTTTCAGCAACTTTATCGAGGGTTCATTGCCTTTTTCTTAATTTTAATTTTTAATATTAAATATTAAAAATAAATAACATTTCATCTTTGTGTAATATAAGTCCAATTTTCACAAGATACGCAGCAACACGTTATGAAGACATTTTTATGTACTTTACAGTCAGTAAAAATCTTTATCATTTTTATCTACATTGTTTAAATTATTTTTTTCTAATTTCTTTAAATAAAAATTTAGACAATTTTTTTTTATAAATAAACTAATTCACACTTGTGTCGATTTGCAAACAAGTTTGTTTTTGGTGCCATGGAGCAACAAGACAAATGTCAACAATAAGGACGAAAATCCGCGTCAATTTTTCATTTTTTTTTGCCTATTTATTTTTTTATTCCAGAACGTTTTTATTGTTTGTTCCCTGTACTTCACATCAGTTCCGAAATTTACTGCACCCCAAGTGTTTTCATTTAGTTGAATTGGCACACGGTTTTATGCAGGATTTGTATGTGAAAATCCCACTCTGTTTGTCGTTGCCTTGTGGATGCATCCTGGCAGCTTAATTTTGCTATTTGTGTTTAACAAAAAAGTATAAAGGACTTTTTGGAAAATAAACAAATAAATAAAAAAATTTTGCTTTGAGATATTAAGCCTACAAATTAAGTTAACATACAACAATGGCCATCAAGAGCGGCAAATCAGCATTTTTTATTTCCAAAAAAAAAAAAAATCATAATAGAATTGTTGCCTAGGTGTCTTGGAATGAGGGCTTTGAAAATTTGAAATAAAAATTTAATTAAATTTTATTTTATTTAAATGGTTTTTTTTTGTTTTTGAATAATTGTTATGATTTTTATCTGTCATATTAGCTATATTATAGCACAAAACAATAATAATATTTTTATGCAATTTGAAATATTTTTATGTATTCATTGCATAAACTCATTTCAATAAAATAATATTGAATTGTATTTAATTTTTTTCCGAAAAGTTCACTCACTTTTATGGTTTTTTTAATTGTAGTTAGCTTGGACAAGAATTTTGTTAGCAGTTAAAATGTACTTAGTTTTGAATAATAAACAAAATATTCCAGAGTCATTAAGTGTATCTGCACTCATTTATAAATGTCTGATCAATGATAAAACGCTTTTAAGCAACAACTTTGGTAATTATTTTCATGTAATTTTTATATATTTTTAATCGCAGACTATCGAACCATGAAAACTTTGGTTATATTAATTATAAACTAATACAGAACCATGAACCATGATGTTCCATTTTAATAATCGCACTTTATATAGATTTTCTAGTTACTAAATAATCTCTTCTTTCTAGGTTGCGCCTTCGTCAAATTCAGTTCGCAACAGGAAGCCCAATCAGCCATCACCAATCTGCACGGAAGTCAGACTATGCCGGTGAGTGAAATTCCGAATTTATTCAAATTCCATTCACTTAAGTGTATTCTTTTATGATTCTTTCTTGTTTTTGAATAAAAAAATGTTGTGATTTATAAAAAAAATTGTTTAAGTGTTGTTCTCTACTTGTGTTTTGTATTAACTTTAACAATACTTGAAGTGTTCTTCAGAAAATTGTAATAAAAAATAATGAGATTTTAAGTGTTTATTTTTTAATTTAATTTTGTACTCGAGCTGTAATGAAAATAAACAAAAAATAGTAAAAAAATACTTGAGAAAATTGAAATTTGCTTTGCTCCACTTCAACAGATTTTAAATCTTTTTCGAAAAATATTTACTGAAGAATAACAGACCTAGTGAAAATTTTTTGAAATATTTTCAAGCAAAAATAAATATTTGGAAATAAAAGATTGTGATATAATATATAAATATTCTAAAAATTTACAAAATATATAAAAAACTGCTAAAAGTTTCATTTTGTACTTGGCTGAAAAAAATAGTGTTAATATTAAATTTTTCATATTTAATTTAAATGTAATCATAGTGTAAATGAAATGAGTATTACCGTGAATAATATTTGGAAAAAAAATGAGCAAAATGTTTTTTAAAATTTAATATATATTATCTATATATCTTTCTTTATACTGTCCTAATTTTTTTATATATGCTATTTACATAGATAATGAAGTTAGAGTCATAAAGTATCATACTCATATCATTGATTTGCAGTTCACATATTTAGAATTTTATAAACTCCATGGGAGTTTATTTTGTCAAGTAAATTCATCATTTGGTCTTTTGCATAAAATTTTTACGTTTACACTTTTAAGTCCTTAATAATCTAAACTTACTTTTTGAGTAAGACTTTATACGAATCAATGCAGTATTTTGAAAACCCTGAGGTTGTTTTGCAGAAGATCGTGCATCTGTAAAGTCATTTAATTTTTATAATTTCCTTGCATAATAATATTTTGAAACTGTTACTCAGATTTTTGTTAGCATAAATCTGTCGATTCATAAAATCGGCAGACATCACTGTCAAGACAGTTATGTTAAAAAGCCCCATATCGTTTAAGTGATACCTTAAAAGTTCCAGACAAAATCCTTAAGCTTACACTACTTAACGAAAGTACCTTATTTAAAATGCAATTTACTGGAATAAGAAATTGTTTTTCTTGATATTCGTGTATTCTTGTGAAAATACACTACTAAAAAAAAGAATAATCACTTCCAGTACTTATTTCTGCATCTGCTTTATGGTAAAAAAATGGTTATTAATACTAACCTTATATCGTCGGTTTTCTAGTACAGTGCAAATAATAATTGTCTTCAATCAGAATTACTGACCTCTTACTTTATCTATCTAATCGTTATTATAATCTTTTTCAAAGGCTTAGCTATATCAAGTTTCATTAAACCTGTTAATTTTTTTCTTATTAAATAAATAATTAATTAAATTAATAATTAATAATTAAAAACACTAAATTCTAATATATTTTATATACAAAAATTCAAGTTTCTACATCTTTGTAGTATATACTACATATTGTAGTATTAAATTATTTAATTTATATAAAATAACACAATAATAATTTATTTAGTACACACTTCTGGGACTTCTTATGGTATATACAATTAAAATCATTTTTCTTTCCTATTTATTTATTTTGATTTTAAGCAAAAATTTTTTCTAACTAAATTTTAATATTAAAATCCACAACTGTACAGAGACTTCTTTCTACCTTGTACGAGTATATTTCCACCAAATTTTGACAATGATTTCAAGACCGACTTCATTACATGGAAAAGGAATCAATTTTCCTTGACAAATAACCTTAAATTTGCATGACACTTGAGGTATTTTGCAAGTAAATTGCTTCTTTTGACAGCGCATAAACACGCAGCTAAGCTTCAAGATTCTATTGTTGATGTTGTTGCTATTGTTGTTGTTGTTGCTTTTGTTGTTGTTATATCCTTATTTATTTATAATAAGAAATAGGATTGAGTTAAGTCGCTGTGCACCATGAATGCTTCCTGCAGTTTATTTAAGTTGAAAATTTCAAATTAAAACTAGAGGGAGATTATATAGAATTTTATATAAAATTATTTGCAGAATTTCAAAACACAAAAAAAACTGTTTCTGGCAAATTCTAACAATTAAAGTAATTTAATATGAAAAACAAGAGAAAGATGAAAATAAATTGGAAAATTTTAATGAAAATAGTATTTGGGAGGAGTTCGTTAAGAACCGTTAGTGCATTTTAATTATAACAAAATAATATACTTGAACTAGTGCATGAATGGATATTAGTATAAATTAATATTTGAGCATTACGATGTTCCAGCAGCTCGAATATATTCGAAGTCGAATAAGTAGATTGTATATATTAAATATTTCAAGGTCTTCGAACAGCTTTAGTCAAATGCTCGAGCATTTTACATAAACATATTCTCGAACATGAAAATCCTCGAGGTCCACTTAAAGAATAATTGAAACTCTAATATAAACTTAGCTTCATAGTTTCAGTTGTCTGCGCAAACTGAGTTCTAGAAAAAAGAGAGAAAAATAAGTTTCAGTGAATTTTATTGATAGAGACATTTCGAAAAGCAGTGAACTGCAAGAATAAAAACTGTTTTTACATTATTTTCATTAATCAGTATTGCCAAGTCAGTATTGTCAGCATTCATTATTCAACTGACCCAAGCCGTACTTCACATATATGTTCGCAATTTTTTCTGGAGTTTTGTTAATTCGCTTTGAAAGTTTATTAACAAATTTACTTGCTTTATTATATTTGAACGAAATCATAAACCAGCAGTGAATTTTATTGTAAATCATAGTTGTAGCTATTTGAAGAGAGTATCTTTTTTTATTGCTATCTATCTAATCAAATAATTAAATTCATTAAACAAGTAATCCTTTAGCTATTTAGAGTAACAAATGGAATTGAAGGAATCGTATAGCATACCGGGTCCAGATACTTTTTACGCAGAATATATTGTTATAAACTAATATTATTGATATTTTTTGCTATGTTTACATAATTTTCATTTCTGAGAATTGAATATTAGATTTGCCAAAGTAACCAAATTAGTTCAATGCATAGAGTATAAATATTATACAGTAGTTATCTGATTCAATTTATAACATAGCCAAACAAATTTTGCTATGTTATAATTGCTATTAGCTATAAAGAGTAAGGCATTAAGTAAACTCTCTGAGTTTAAATTTTATATAAGATTTAAACTCAAAGTTTAAAGTCAATATAAATATACATAAAATCCAAAATCTACTCCACCCCACATTTTTAATTAAAATTTCAATGTTAAATTAATATTGTTAGCACTTTAACTTAGGCATCAAAGAATCTCAGAAAAAAAATTCAGTTAGTGGAAATGTTAGATATTAAAAAAGAAACTCTTGAGAAAAGTGCCAATTTTCATCAAATATTCTAACAGTGAAAATGTTTGAAAACGCAATACCTAAAGTTAGGAAAAGAGAAAAATGCCTAAGGCATTTCCGCACTTTTGCAAACGAAAGAGTTCATTCTAAGATGTTGGGAAAGCAAACATACCTAAAATTCTGATTGAAGAAAAAAAGCAAGCTATGTAGCGGAAACGGAAATCACCCCGAAAATAACTTTCGAAAATATAGGAAATAACAGTAAGTAGCGTTCGTTTCGTCAGAATCTCAATCATCGACACGAACCAAATATTATGAAGGACTGCAGGAATGAAGGAGCGAAGAAGGGAAGGACGAGTAAAAGCAAAACATTTAAAGAAGTACAAACTTACCAACAAATAACATTTCCGCTTCAAAGTGTACACATGTACAATGAATTCGAACATTTGATTTTCCATTTTCTATTTTCAATTTTTCTTTTTTTTGCTATTTTCATTGAAGGCAATTGTTAGACTTCAAATCTATTCACGCCAAAAGTCTTTAAAACGCCTTCAGGTGCGCTTTAATTTGCATTTCATTTTAACTTGTCACAGTTTTCTCATTTAAATTTAAAAAAAGGACTGAAAAATATAAAATATATTTAAAAAATAAAAATCAAATAAAAAATAAAAAAAATTGTTACATTCTACAAACTAAAACGTAAATGTAAATTTAATTTCGTATCTCACTTCAGCACCAGCACCAGCATTTGTTTTTTGTTTTGTTTTTTTTTCAGCTATTTTGTTATTTCGTGCACATACGAGTGTACGACGGAGACCCTTTATCCCTTCGTCCTTACATTTGCTTATCAGCTTTTTAATTACTTAATTTGTATTTGTGTGGCGTTTTGCTTGGATGGCACGGCTTTGCCGCCGCATTTGGTTTTGCCTCATTGTTGTATGCACAAAGCTTAATGGAATTAAACATGCGGATTTCAATTTTTTGTGTATTTTACTTATTTTCATGTCGATAAGCGAAGCGCAGGTATTTCTCTCGACAGCAGCGAGGCGAAAGGGGTTATCTGCTGTTACCTGCGAATGTTACCAATTAAAGTGTTAAATTAACGAACGAGAAAATAATTCGTAACGAATTCTCGATAGCAAAACCTTTAGTGAAATCTAAGGAATTTTAAATGCAATTCAAGCAAAGCGAAAAAGCAAAATTTTAATATTTGAAACTAATTATTGAAGCCACTTCTGCGTTTTTATAATTTTTAATGAAATAACTTTATACAAAATATTTTCTATTAAAACGTTATAAATGAAGAACATGATTTCTTTGTCAAAGTAACAAAAAATTCGCGTATGGAGGGGGGATTCAGTTTTCAGTACTCACTAAGACACAAAATATTAAAGAAGAATCTACCCAAAAGCACCATCAGTCGAAAAAGTGTTAAGATTCATATATTAGATATTATATTAATATATTAATTTATATTATATTAAATATTATATTGAATATAAATAAAAGTACACCCCTTTCCATTCAAATAATTATTACTACTCTGTCTCATTCTCCTTGCGGAGATTCATTGTGCGAGATTTTTCTGTTTGAAAGGT